GCATCATACCCTCATCAATGCAAATTTTTGTCCTGGCTGATACATCTGCTTCAACCTTTCCACACTGTAGTCAGCGCTGGGCAGGCTTTGTACATTTTGCCAGTGTCATTGTGTGCTGCAGTAATGTTGCATGTAAGGAACTTCCATATAGTCTGAAATCTCTTCCTCGTCGGCCAAAATAGGGGTTGTGTTGACCTCGTCCATACTCCAGTACAGTGAAACGCTTGGCTTTTTGACATAACTGGTGAGAAAAGTGAGTCCAAAGAAGGTTTTCAGTTCTGCGACAAACATGGCTTTCCAGGCATGACTTCTGCTATGTGGCAGCCCCTCAGACTGGGCTTGAAGACACTGAGTAGGATACAAGTTGGTTTGTTCCGCAATGTGTTGGAGTAGCTCATCAGTTATAATGATCTCCAGGAAGTCAGCTGACAGGTTAGAAACCAGCTTCGCAGCAGCACTCCGAGGCCCGGGTGTTGCAATGAAGGAAAACTTATTTGGTTGCCAGTTGGCTTCATGCCAGCTACTATCCTCCCCATCCTCACTGCAGGATCTGTAAATTAAAATAAATATAAACAATTACCATACAAAAATACCACACTTATTCATTTTTACCTTCATTCCTACTGTCAACAGGTGAGAGACTGGAATCACCGATTGATACATGACATGCGAAGTATAGAAATGTAAACAATTACCCCAACAATCTGGTTTGTTCATTGATGTGATGTGGGGATGCATTTTTTTTATCTTTCTTTTTCAGACTGCCAAATGGCGGGGGACCCATGCAGGATGCACAATCTGTCACTTGAAAATTCCTTCCCGTAAGTGATAGCAACTGATGTTGCAGTATATAAACTAGCGGGACGAAATTTTGAGAGAGAGAGAGAGAGAGAGAGAGAGAGAGAGAGAGAGAGAGAATGTTCCCTGAACTTTTCCGACTTTCATCTTGCAATTCTCTCATTATCTGTTATCTTTTCATCATCTATGCTGATCTCCCATGGACAGAGTTGCCCCGCTGCCACCTACAAGGTGAGCCCACTAGCCCATAGCATTAATTGACATCCATAGACGTCATTGGCAGCGAAGAATGGTTAGAATTAAAAATGGTGTGACGAATTATCAACATTTTACAAACAATTTTTAAATGGCCACTTGGGGAAGGGTGAGGGCTGGACCAAATGGGTTCAAAGACCGTGCTAAAAACCTTACACAGTACTTCTGCAACTGTGCTTCTCCTTGCCCACACGCGAGGGCATTACAGTACCTTAATTTTTCATGTCTGAAATCAGTGATTCTTAACTAGGAAAAAAATATTACTAGTGAAGACACACTCCATTACTTCCAACGATGATACATTTCTGCTAAACATATGCTCCATAAGTACACTGAGGAATTATCTGATGACCCCGATGAGTACAAACTGCACAGGTAAAGCACTTACAGCTCTTCTGAAGGCGCCTCTTCAGGAGGGGTACCCCGCTGCAGGATTTGAATTCTTTATGGCGGCACAGGTGTGCTCTTTTTCCTTCTTCAGGACCCTTACAGGTCGGTGCTGACATTGTTTCTTCTGTGCCAGGAGGTCTTTATAGACCTCAATAGGGCCCTCGATGGCGTTTTGAAACTGCAACACCCGGGCCATTTGGGGATCATAATCTTCCGCCATTCCCTGCAGCTGTTCAGCAGCTCTCACCATTTTTGTCAGTCGTTCAAGTGAGAGGTCACTGTCGTCTTCCTCTGATGGATCCGCTCCTGCCTCTGCCTCCTCTTCTTCCTCCTCCTCCTCACCTTTGGCTTTCGTTATTTCAATCAAATCTTCGTTAGTTAGTGGATTTGCGTGTGTGTCAATGAGGTCATTGATGTCATCACGTGTCACTTCGTTGAAGCATTCCCCTCTGAGCAACTTGGCCAGTTCGACTGCCTCGTTAACTGCCGACAGACAAATTTGGTCTGGGGAGAAACCGACATAATTCTGGACACAATCGGGCCACAGCTTTCCCCAACAGGCATTTAAGGTTTCCTTCCTCATCTCCTTCACGGCATTTTGGATATTTTGGAGACAAGTTGCCATCGTGTAATCACGCCAGCACGTCTCCGGAGTGAAGGTTTCGTCAGAACTCATTGCCTCGACGAGGTGGCGGAGGATGTTACGTGCGTACAGAGCCTTGAAGGCACGCAGGACGCCCTGAGCCATCGGGTGAAACGACGCCGCCGCGTTTCGCGGGAGGAACTCGATCCGAACGCCTTTGTGGGATAGATTCAGCGTGTGGCCTCCTGTGTTGTCCATCAGTAACAGCACCTTGAACTCGAACCCAGCTTGGGCGAGGTACAACTCGACCGCTGGAATGAAGCAGTGGTGGAACCAGTCACATGTGAGGACTTTTGAAATCCAACCTCTGGGGTTGTGCATCCAATAAACAGGCAGTAGGTTTTTGTTTTTGGTCTTCAGTGACCTGGGGTTCTTGGACTTGCAAATTAGCGCCGGCTTTATCATGTAGCCAGCAGCATTGACGCACATGATCAAACTCAATCTGTCTTTGGGAGCTTGGAATCCAGAGGCTCTCGCTCCCTCGTCCATGATGGAGGTACGAGAAGAAATACTCTTCCAATACAAGGCAGTTTCATCCATGTTGAAGACTTGTTCGGGCTTGTAACCTCCCCCCTCAATGATTGACTTGAATGTCTCCTTGTTGTACTCGTCGTCTTCCAGAGACACAGATGCAGCTTCACCGCACATGGGAAGTTTTTTGAGATTGAAGCGTTTTTTAAATCTGTGCAACCAACCCTTGCTGGCATAAAATTCAGTGGGGTTGGCGGCAGATTCGGTTGCTTGAGGTTTTCCATAATCGCAAGGGTTGTCAGCATCTTCCGCAATCATGGCAAAAAGCTGTCGAGCCTTCTCTCTTATGTCCATGTCCAAAGGAACATTTTTCTTTCTGCAGTCAGTGATCCAAAGAGCCAACGCGGATTCCATCCGAACGATGGCTGCGTTTTGACAGGTTACCGCTCTTTTGGCTGAACGGTTGAAAGATACCGATGCGGTGTATCTTATTTTCTTTTCGTCTTTCTTGATGCAGCGTACAGTCGATTCATTTAAGCCGTAATGTCGAGCGACGGTGGCGTAACTCCGTCCTTCCCGAAGCATATCCAGGAGTTTGATCTTCTCTTGAATGGTCAGCATCCTCCTGTGGCGTTTAAGCTTTCTACCAGAAGCCTTCGGAGGTGCAGGATGCTTGGGGGCCATCGTAGGGCTTAAAACGAAACAAAAAATGATGATGCCGCCGGCTGTTTTCTCCCACATTGTGCCATTCTCAGACCTCAAGAAAAATGAAATCCCACAAGCCTGCTTAAATGTTTATATTATAGGCGCATTTATTTATTTTTTACTGTTGTAATCCTTACTTAAATGTCTACAATGTGAAATAAAAAAAAACGTAAAAGCCTATTGAAAAATGAAGAAGAAAAAAATGTGTATGATACGCATGTTATTTTCGTGATAAAACACAATGCCATGGATGGGCTCGAAAACTAGCATCATTGTTGTTGTAAATATAAACCTTCAAACAGTATGTCGTTTCCTTTGCTTTTTTAGTGTGTACATAGACAGCTGCAGGACATCACAGGAGGGGGAGGAATATTGTCCAATTTTCAGATGACACCGCACGGCTGCGACAGACCTCTTATCATTGTCACGCTTTTGCTACGTGGGTGAATTAGTGTGAAGATCATTTTTGGGATGTAAATGTATTAAAAATTTGGGAGCGAATTATCGATTTTAGGCGGCACAGTGATATGCCCAAAGAAAGCATCATTCATCAACAAAAGGCTAAACTTGTTGATTGGTACAAAATATTTGGGCATTGTGTCTGACTCAAAGCTTAAATTTGACATATCTTAGGAATTCTCTCTCATGCCTTCAGGCAGGCGCTCCAATGTGCCCAAAAGGAAAACTAACTCGTCCTCAGAAGTTCTTCTCCATTCCCTCAGCCATTACGCTTCTAAACACAGACTGTGCTCATCTTGAATGATCTATCTTTTTTTTAATGATAGAAGTCATTTATTTGAATTTAATTCCATAATGCTCTTATTACTATTTATATTGTTCTTTTACACCATCTTGCTCTTACCTCATTTGATTTTATCTCATTGTATCACGTTTATCTTGCGCTTGCATTTGTAGGCTACTTAGGCCTCTCTCTCTCTCTCTCTCTCTCTCTCTCTCTGTCCCGTGCTTCACTGTTTCTCTACTACACATTCATTCATGGATTAACCAGGAGCTTGAATGTACACTGAAAAGCTACAAATGAATTGCCCCTTGAGGGCAGAAATAAAGTTGTCTGAATCTAAATACAAACAGTACTTGAACACAAGCTGCAGCAATGCCTCCAGACTGAGTATCAACCATACAGGCATATATTCTTTCCACTCTGCGAAAAACATCTACTGTTACTGTAGTTGTTTCATTATCAAATCTACGGGTTGCATGTCGATGTATTTTAATGCGCCCTCCCTGTTGGTGAAGGTATGCAAATTAGAAGTGCAACAATATCGTGTAGAGAATTATTTTCGTT